TTAATCTTTTAGCCGTGTAAACTAATCAAATAATGCGATAGATCTGTATTTTGTGATGCTCACTTCCAAACAATCTGCATCATTACTTCAAAACAAAGTTTTACCTCATCACCAACAATATTCATGGTATTTCTAACGGTAACTGATATATTAGTAATACCATCAGCCTGTACTGTAGTTGGTACTTTTAATTTAGAATATTCAAATTTAGTATAAGTTAAACCATAACCAAATGGATACAATGGTTCTCCTTTAAAATATCGATACGTTCTGCCCTGCATTGTGTAATTGGTCATAGATGGAATCTTAAAATAGAAAATAGAGTTTTGAAATCTTAACTACTGAGCAAATTTTGTATTTGGATGTAGTATAGAAGCCTATTTTGTTGCATCAAATTATTGAAGTTGTATGGTTATTTAAATAATTATGAAATTAGCCACATAAATTCATGTTTTTATAACACATGGCTCAACTCCAAAATGGAACCGATTAGATAACAATATCATTATGATATTCAAACCAAATTATTTGGTCACATCGCACTCGAGTAAAACTGTCGTTTAGAAACAGAATCAAAGTTCTTCACTGTATCAAAATATATTTAATAAAAAACCTGTAGTGCCGTATGATACCATGTATAGGGTAACCTTCCAAACATTGACGGAACAGGATTGGTTACAACATTCTTCAGAGCAACACCAGTAGCTTGTCCTGGATAGAAAGCAGCTATAATTGCTGATACTCTTGGATTCATATCAGCCCATGTAATATTGACCGGTCCAGCATTAAATGTTATTAAAACAACCTTCGCTGAGCCACCTGAAAAAAATATACTTTGATAATTTGGACAATAACATTATACCATGCTTTATGACTGAGTTTTTAAATATTGATCGTTGGGAAAAATTACAAAAAATTTTGTCCAAAATTAGTTTTGTATAAACATGAAGGGTGAGCATCGACTAGATCATTCGTTGAAAATCTTTTAGACTTTAATCCCTTAACCTTTTTTCGAAAGTCAAAAATGCTGGTTACAGTTACAGCCACAGTTTGGAGGTAATAGTGTTTAGAATGTTTTATTTGGTGTATTAAAAAGTAATCACTGTAATTACTATTAATAATAGAATCTAGTATGAGCAACTGCTGGTATCCAGGTAACTCGATGTTCCGTCTATCATTTTCTTCATTTTCCAGCAAGGGACCTGAAACATGTAAAAACGACAATATTTCAAAAATGGAAAAGTTTGTAGTTCACTGACCAATAAAATCATTTATTTCTTTTAGACTGTCTGTAAGTCTAGGAAAGTGTAATAATAGGTTATTAAATAAAATAATTACCTAGTCCAATACAGATAAAGACTATGTCTACATTTGAAACTGCTTTTTTCACTGCCGCTGCATCATACGTTGTACAGGAAGTATTTGGACATCCACTAGCATAATTAACTTCAGAAGCAAGAGATTTCAATCCCATTCTAACTGTGGTAACAAATCTCGGATCCGGCACAGTGGAATAACTACCAATTTGCATCAACGCATTGTCCGCCATTGGTCCCACAATCTGAAAAAGTAAATAAAACAACAAAACAGAAACATCACTCTGAAACACCATTGTAGCAAACCAGACAAAAAAAACTGAAAACATAATACTCACAGCAATGGAATCATATTTTGACTTTTTGAGTGGAAGAACACCATCATTTTTCAACAAAACAAAAGATTTCATAGCAGCTTCTACAGCTAGATCTCTGTGAGATTTTTCTTCAATAACATCAGTAGTAATTGAGGCGTAGGGATTCATTTCCGGTGGATCAAATTCTCCCAACCTCATTCTAGTATAAAATAATGGTTTCATTCTTTCTCGTACCAAATCTTCTGTAAGTTTTCCAGCCTTTACAGCATCAGCTTGAGAAATGAAATGCATACACAATAACTACTGAATTATGAGGAATTCGGGGATTTTCATTCTGAAGCATTGATTTGTATTTAGAAGTTTTCTTTAAATGATGTTTTATTTTTTGGTACAACAAACGATTTATACTATTGGATAAAAATTAGTTTAAAAAGCAAAATCTCGTCAGATCAAAAATGGAACGACGAGTGTTGTAACTAACAGAAACTAAGAAACAAAACAACCAGATCAGCATTTACAGTTAAACCAAACTTTTCAACCGAAAATTGTTTTTTAGAGAGTGGACATATTTTTTAAATGAAATTATTCACCAGTGAAATTAAAATCCTTTGCAGGGTTTGACCAATCAAAATCTCTCGATAATCAATGCGGAAAGCTCGTTTTAAAGATAGTTGAGTATTAACTTACGTATGTGCATAAAAGTTTGATTTTTCTCCGTTGGACCTCCCAATTCCAGATTAACTCCAGCATTGATAGCTCCTGCTACTGTATCAATACTATTATTAAAATAATGATGTCCATTCATAATCAGTTCTACAGCTTCTTGATCACTGACCACATAACCTTTAAATCCCCATTCTTTTCTTAATACATCAGTTAATAGAAATTTATTGGCGCAGGCTGGTATTCCATTGATGCTGAAGCAAACAGAAAGCATAACGATAATGCTTCGATAAGCAAATATTCCGTTGTACACTGTCATGCTTTCTCCACATTCCGACGATTCCTAGGTGAAAAATGTCTGAACCATTTTATAAAAGCAAAGCCCCCTTAAGTTTACCATACGCATAGGCAATATTTTCCAAAATCCAACTGTCAATCAACGCAATCGATATACATGAGTAAGATATGTATACAACAGTTCAGGACCGCTTATTCCTGTTGTATAAGTTCCATCCTAGGCCTGATCATTTGAGAGAATCAAACTCTCCCTTCAAAATAAAAAATAGATGGACGACCGCCTAAAATGATATTATATAATGATATATACTACCTATTATAACTACACATAAGACTGTATGTACCATCTTCAACACTATCTAAATGCTGGTAGAAATGTTGTTCTCCAATCTCGAGTAGTAACCTACGATGATAAAGAATGAGCTATTCCTTACCTTCTTTAAAAGAAACATTTATTAGCATCACGGATTTTTGTAATTTCCGTTTTAGAAAAAAAGACTTACATTGGCACTAAATGCACCTCGCCAAACTGGAATATTATCTGGTCCACCATGAACATTAAAATGTTTACAACCACCACTAGCTCTAACATATCTCGGATGATCTCCTTGTAAACCTTTAATATAAGCTTGTGATAACATACCATTAAGAACAGGATCTTCTCCATAAGTTTCCTACATTAAAATACACAGAGGTAAAGTCGTCTAATCATTTGGTGATAATCCCCAATTTCACTATAAGTGGAGAACTAAAATTACCACACAGGATAATACTCAAACATTATTAACAGCAAACATCATCGGCTGTCGGGTCTGAAAGTGACGATGTACACAGCCTGAGACACACAATGGCTACGATGTACACCCTGTCCAAAAAAACAAAAACTACAGGCTTTCAACATGCCAGTTAACCCCACTGACCCGTACTGCTTACCTGATTGCGACCCCATCTTGGATCTCTCATAATATTTATTACTGGAGCAAAGCAACTCAATCCAGTATACTGTATGTACGACCCGTTTTGAACAGCTGCGTTATGAGTAGCTCTGACTTCAACTGCTGTAGCTTCAGCCAGTCGTGTGATCAGATCTGTGCTGAAAAGAAATGAAATGTAGTTCAGCATCTGATTGGGCTAATGAAGACTAATGAATATGATTGGTGAAATGACAAGAAGAGATGACTGCTTTGTATTAGACAAATTCTGTTGAATCATAGTTTAGAGAAGAATTAATCACCACGTGGACGTACGCGTAGGCGCAGGATTTTCTACTTGACACGAGATGACATGACGACAATAATAATATTTGTTTACCTAAAACTAGCTGCTAGTCCAATAGATTGAGGATAAGCTGTGGCATTGTGTCCAACATCACCATGTAGACATTCTGTATCCCATTGATATGGTCCAATACCTAGTCTTGGAATGGCTGGAGCTGGGCCGTTGATACCAGCACCGCCTTTAGCCATCTGTAGTGTTATTTCATCTAAAGTCAGTCGGCCTACCAAATCATCTACTCTAGCATACCACCCTAGTGATACATTTCGGAATTGGTAATCCTCAACAGATAATCCCACCAGACATGGAACCAATATCACTAATACGGCTACTTTCATGGTGATTGTTGATGAATAGATATATAAAACTATAATTTTCTTATATACAAGTATTTGAAACTTTATCTTTAAGGCTATATGATAACTGTATTGAATATCCTTGACATCATTTCGATTGTACTAAGTGATATATCCTACATGACTTAATAAAGATTTTGTCGCCGAGTGTATTTACATGTGAATGGCAGTCAAGGGAAAGAATCCAGGTATCGAATGAACGAAAATGCGTAAATCTAATCGTGGGGTCTTGGACATATTAGTCAAAAAGGTTTACATAATAGAGTGAAAAATTTTCTGTGAATTTTGTTGTTATGTGATAATAAAGAAAGACAGAAAAGTCCAGAAAGAAAAATACCCGATTTAGCAAGTGAACTTTTCTTAACAACTATAAAACCTTATTATTTCGATAAGAAAAGCACGTGCGGATATACAATCATCGACCTTATTATTTCGAAAAGAAAAGCACGCATGGGAGAGTCCATAAGATGAATTGCAAACTACTTATTTAAATTGTGCTATTAAAGCGGAAAAACCCAATGCGATACATGAATCTATAAATAATCGTGCAATTAAATATTGTGCCATGCTTGTTTTTTGTTGTATTTTTAAGAACGCATACATTAGTTATTAATTTTAATAGAATCCAAGTATTTTCGTTCCATTGATATGTATCTGACCATCTAAAACCATTGTTCCGCCATGTTTCTTTTGATTTGGTTGTTCACCTCCGACATACACGTTTAGGTCACCTGAAATATATTTCATAAGAGGATGAACATTTTCAAATTTATATCTATTTACATATTCACTTCAGCATGGTCAAGTTAAGTTCGAGGTAACACATTATAAGTCTTGTACATGTTAGAATTGGACTTGAAATGAAATATGGGATTGAAGTCTATTGCTGTATTGGACCCCGCCCACACCCCCCTCCCCCTCCCAGTTATAGCTCTATTTACCTTGTTCTACAACCCATCCTCTATCATCTGTATATACAGCTATATTTTGTGGTTTAATGGTGAAATGGTAAGTTATAGTTTGATAAGCTTGTAGAGTCAACCTGGTAAAGTTTACTAATTGTAACTGTGGTGTTTCTACACTTGAGTTTAACCACAAAATGTATACTTGAACTACCTAAAAACATAAAATATATGGATGTAGTTCCGTTTTGATATACATGAATCTTTAAGTTCTCCAGAAGGGTTAAATTCAGTAAACCTGTATCAATTAGCAACGGTATAAAAGTGAGGCAATTTTCATTTCCAGATAAGTTTCCTAAAAAGTGGGCATGTATAAATCTAGACTGTCTTCGCTTCCATTCATTCATACAGGAATGTCAAAGTAACCACCTACAAAAATTTTCGAGGTAAAAATCCTAAAATCAAGAATCAAAATAACGCAAAAGTTCAAATAAACGGGATCAAAATTAAAGGATTTGATGCGTCACTCTGGATCTGAATCGGTAAAACTGCGCAACCTGCTGGAAATGAAATGAGGGCCGAGATAGCGTAAGGATAGCCAACAAAGCATTAAGAAAAGGTCCCATTCCACTTACCTCATCACCAACAATATTCATGGTATTTCTAACGGTAACTGATATATTAGTAATATCACCAGCCTGTACTGTAGCCGGTACTTGCAATTTAGAATATTCAAATTTAGTATAAGTTAAACCATAACCAAATGGATACAATGGTTCTCCTTTAAAATATCGATATGTTCTGCCCTGCATTGAGTAGTTGGTAATTTCTGGAACCTTAAAATGTAAAGGAAAGTCTACATTGCTTATTTAGTATATTTAATACATATCAATAGGCTGATAAACACGATAGTCTTTAAAGGCAATCTTCAACCTAGACTTGACACAATGCAAGCTTAACGTAAGCTGATGATAAATACCTGATGTTCTGAGTAGTACCACGTATAGGGTAACCTTCCAAACACTGACTGATTAGGATTGATTAAAACATTCTTCAGAGCAACACCAGTAGCTTGTCCTGGATAGAAAGCAGCTATAATTGCTGATACTCTTGGATTCATATCAGCCCATGTAATATTGACTGGTCCAGCATTGAATGATATTAAAACAATCTTTGCCGATCCACCTGAAGCAAATTAAGGACGAGTAGAGTATGGATGAGATTTGCTAAATATGGGATTGAAATAAATAAAAAGTGAACGTCAAAATTACCAAAGGTTTAGTATAATAGTTTTGAATATTGACATTTCAGTGATGTCTTTTAAACGCCGTGTATTGAGTAAATGTTAATTTATTCGTTCTCTTGATAAATATTTTAGTTATTTACTTACTGTAATGTATGACATCTTGTATTAAAGTTTGTTGTTGGCCGGGCAATTCTAGATCTGTTCTATCCTTACCTTCAGCTTCAACCAATGTACCTTTATAGTAAATACAAAAATATTTTGCATCTTATAATTGGTTGCCTGTATTGAACCCAAATGCAATGAAATATAAGTAAGTAAAGAAATTTTATCTTTCTTCACCATATTCATATATAAATATATATTGTCCACTAACATTAGTTTATTGAAATTCTACTAGAAACAGACTTGACAATGATAAAATTTGAGTTTTACCAGAGAGCAAATATCTCATGTCAGAAAACTCAAAAATTCGACAATTATCAATATTCATTGACTTATAAAGTAACCATAAATAATAAGCTCACCTAGACCAACACAGATCAAAACTATTTCAACATTCGTGACCGCTTTTTTAACAGAAAACGGATCATACAGTATACATCTAGTGCTTCTGCATCCAGCAGCATAATTCATTTTATTAGCTAGTGATTGAAGACCGTCTATTGGTGTACTGACAAACTTGAAATCGGGACTTGCAGCATAATCACCGTTCTGTAAGTAAGGGTTATTGGCCATTGGTCCAACAACCTGTAAAATATGAAATAAGTGATTATTTTGCTAATTGCAGGAACACTTTCGTGAGCAATGAGCTGAATAAGAAATTTAAGAATAACCGCCAAGATGACGGTTCCACTGATAAAACCAGAAAATTGAAGCTCCTTAGCCTACTTAATATTTTTATATTGTAATCAATAAATGACAAATTTTTACAAAATAAATTTCAGAGATGACTTACGGCAATGGAATCATATTCTGACTTCTTGAGTGGAAGAACACCATCATTTTTCAACAAAACTAAAGTTTTCATAGCAGCTTCTACAGCTAGATCTCTGTGAGATTTTTCTTCAATAACATCAGTAGTAATTGAGGCGTAGGGATTCATTTCTGGTGGATCAAATTCTCCCAACCTCATTCTAGTATAAAACAATGGCTTCACTCTTTCTCGTACCAAATCTTCTGTCAGTTTACCCTCTTTAATAGCATCAGCTTAAAATCATATTTAATGTAATTAATCATACAAGCAATGTACATAAAAGTCCTTGAGCTATTGCAAAACCTAAAATTAGACAAACTCCCCTGTAAAATATCAGAAACTAGTCTCGTGTTGTGAATACAGATGGTTTTATGTTATGGATTTGTATTCGAAAAGATGCACCATTTTTGCTGACATAGAAAAACAGACGAAAACTACTCAGTCGATCAAGAACACCCCTTCCAATTACTTCTCAATAAAGGGGAATAAAGGCACTTTACGTGTTGTAAAACATTATGCAGCAAACACTCTCCAACATTAATGTGGCGTCAATTATTAAATCATATAGCAAAAGTATTTCGCATCGGAGTCATGCAGCTCCTGGAATATTGGACAAAATACTCACGAATACTCATAAACACCTCTCTAAGTTCATGTACGCCGGCAAGTTCAAGATTGAGTCCAGCATTGATGGCTCCTGCTGCTGTATCAATGTTATTAGTGTAATAATGATGTGAGTCCTTTATCAATTCCACAGCAACTTGATCACTAATAACATAACCTTTAAATCCCCATTCATTTCTTAATACATCAGTTAATAGAAATTTATTGGCACAGGCTGGTACTCCATTGATACTTTCAGTATTTGAAAAAGAAGAAATTGAAAATGGTAATGGTGGTGAATGATAAGTGTTGTAGTCATTTAAACATTCAAGTCGCAGCGTTTCGTTGACCCAAATTAAAATTTATTTTGTTTTAACTTTCGCTTGTACAGAATGGAGAAAATAACAACATATTCAGCTTTTCTTGTCTTTACCTGTTATAACTACACATCAGACTGTGTGATCCAGCTTCAACACAATATCTAAACGCTGGTAGAAACGTTGTTCTCAAATCTCTTAAAGTAACCTGAAGAAAATTTCGAGATACGCCGCAAATTGCCTGATTTCAACATATATTTTCATATTATATATCAACCTCATATCGCTCAATACGGCATAAAACACAGCTAAACGGACGCCAAAATTACCTTATGCATAATGGTAAGGTTCAAATGATATTCATTGAGTTTTGGACAGAGTTGGGCAGATAAAGATAGTTATATATTACTAATTTTACAATGTACATTAGCACTGAATCTTGTTTTATCTACTGGAATGTTTTCAGGACCGCCATATACATCAAAATGTTTACATCCAGCATTAGCTCTGATAAAACGAGGATGATCCCCCTGTAAACCTTTCACAAACGCACTAGCCAGCATGCCATTTACTATAGGGTCTTCTCCATACGTTTCCTGTAATATAAATACTGCACAATCAGAACCCTGTTTAATGCTTAACGAATGCGAAGATGAAAGTCGCACACAAAACAAAAAAGCCCATTGTCCTTTAATAGCTAATACCTTTATACATTATAGCAAAAATGATGTCTGTGTTTTTTTAAGTTTTCTGTCATCATTAAACAAATTAGAAGCAGAAATGTTAGAAACAAAACTAAAAAGACGATTCAAAATGTATTCGGGACTGTGAGTATTGCTATTGCAGATAAAAACACCAGGACAATAAAACCTCGTCAGTAATATGCAATATATACTCAATACTTTATAACAAATCTCTGTGCTATAGACATAGTGACAATATTTGATTCACATCTTCGCTTACCTGATTGCGGCCCCATCTAGGGTCTCTCATAATATTTATAACTGGAGCAAAACAACTCAATCCAGTGTGATCTACATACGACCCATTCTGTACTGCGGCGTTATGAGTAGCTCGGACTTCTACTGCTGTAGCTTCAGCCATTCGGAATATCAGATCTGTACTATAACACGAAAAATCGATAGAAATTATAAGGTATTTCCATCTTACAACAAGGAATCAAGTATTTAGGAACATGTTGGATAGTAAATCCCAAGACATGAATAGGAGGTTCAGCCTACCTGAATGAAGCAGCTAGTCCTATAGATTCTGGGTAAGCTGTAGCATTCTCTCCCATATCACCATGTAGACATTCTGTGTCCCACTGATATGGTCCAATACCAAGTCTCTTTATAGCAGGAGCGGGGCCGTTGATACCAGCACCACCTTTCGCCAGCTGTAGTGTTATTTCATCTAAAGTCAATCGACCCACCAGATCATCTACCCTAGCGTCCCAGGATAATGATACATTGTTAAAAGGGTAATCTTGAATCGACAGCTCAACCAGAGACGCTAAACAGATGATTAAACTAGCCCCCACCATAATGGTAGAGCCTAAAATAACAATTGATATTTTAATCAACAACATCCCATATAGATAACAATGTACTCTTGACTTAATATCAAATCAATGATACCACTGCATGTAAATACATTTTGAAAGTGAACGTGTATAGAAACGCAATGGATTTTGTTAACTTTATATTGAATGTTAGTAAC